AAATGGAGATTCGCCTCAAATTCGAGGAAGAAGTTCTTGAATTCTACAGAAATGGAGAAATCAAATCTGCTCAGTCAAAGAAAAATCCACAGAGCACATTTCCAGTCATCAAGTCCACTGTTGGAGGCTCAAAGGTGAAGCTTTCGCAGAAGAAATTGGGAAGAAAGCTTCGCCTTCCCAATTCTGGAGTTGAAGTTGGAAAATTTCCAGTTAAAAATCTGGACTGGAACATCATTGGAATTTCTGGGCGAACTCCTTCTGGCCCAGCAAAGAAAGCAGATCTGAACAACGATTACAAATTAATTTTGGAACTGGTCATCGCCTGCCTCGAATGTGGGAGTGGAGGTCATGCCGATGACATCACCCAGGAGAGAGCCTTCATCATCAATGCTCTCATTACCAAAACTAAGGTAAACTGGGCTGCAAACTTTTTCAATTCCATCTGAAAGCATCTGAGAAAGCCCAACCAGAAATATCTTTGTCAAGGACTATACCTTGGACATATCTTGGAGTCTATGGGTATTGCTTCTAAAGGAAAGAAGTATGGAGAAAGATACTGGCTATACTACTTATCCTCCAAAGGAGAAAACATAGCCAGTGCCAGTACCACTGCAGAAGATAGCTCATCAGATAATGTCCTACTCATCCATATGGCAAAGACTGCCAAAAGAAAGCAAGTGGTGTCCTCCTCTCCCTCCATTGAAGCACCACAGAATCTTGCCTTGGTATGTTTGGAAGAAGAAGAAGTCTCTGACCATGGAGAACTTCAAAGGAAGAAGAAGAGAAAGATCAACTCTTCATCAACATCCAAAGATGTCGATTCGGATGAGTTGAAGGAGAAGGAAACTGCTGAGGAAACCTCTATTCAAAACCAGTGCCCTCAACAATTTGAAGAAGAAATCCCTCCAGTCCAAAGCCTTCCAACCTCATCTCAGCCTCATACAGATGATGCTGACAACAAATTCTGGCAGCTCTACTATAATTGGAGAGCTTGGAAAGTTGGAAATTCAGAAGAGCAACTGTTGGATTGGGACCAACAGCTGAAGAATGAAAAGATTATCAAGAAATGCCTAGG